TACCTCAGCCACAGCACAAAGGTAAGGAGAGTGAAGCGTAGAGTTGGTGGGGATGTCAGTAGGTGCTTTCCCTTTTTAGCTGCCTCTTTTATGCTAGTACAAAGCATAAATGCCTAGACATTGGAAATTTCATCATTTTTTTTCTTTCACAAAGAAACTCTAATCGTAGGACACTATAATAATTTAAGTAACTATTTATGGACCATAATTTTTTTATTTAAAAATATGTTGAGGGTGATCTGTGTTATGATAAATTATTTCATTTTGTTCATAGTTTTGTAGCAGTACTATTATCATTTATCTGAAATATACCACAGCACGCTCTTTTTAAGGGTGTAGGGCTTATTTCACATCCTGTTTTCTGCTTGCGACAGAAAATGAAAGAGCAAGAGAGATTCAACTATAGACAAACCAGAACCAAGACAAAAGTAACCATACAAAGGGTTTAGTTGCAAACAATCACAAAAGGATTTGGCTATTGAAATGAAGACAACCATAAAAGAAATTTGGGTACAAGTCCTATAAATTATTTTCCTCTCTCTAACAGGAATCCAAGATCAAATCAAATACACATTAATCTTCCTAAAGGAGTTTCCCAAAACAGAGGAGAAGGTGGTACTCAGTTGTACATACCAAGTCAACTTGCCCTGCTCCAAGGCAGAACAGAGGACCCACAGAATCAGACATTCCTTTGCTTCCACAGTATAGTGCTTGAGGCACTGGACACCTCTGTGGAGAGCCCAGGGGAAAGTCTCAGAACAAAGAGTTTTGACATCTGATAGATGTTTCCCATTGAGGGTCCTCTGAACATGTGTTGGCTCCCCTTACACAGCTTGTTCTTGTTTGGTGGAACAAAAATTGTCACCAAGTTCACAATCATCTGCCTACCACATGAAAAACCTGATAACTCAAGGGTGAAGTGTTGTAGCAACAAAAGTGAGTTTAATTGGAGTACTAGTAAGCTGAGACATTTACCGGACTGGTGTCCTATAAGACCCATCTTTCCTGTTGCATTGTAACTAGTCCATTTTAAGTATGAGCAGCACAAAAGGGGTCAAGTTCAAAAGTTGGGGAATCACTATAGATACCTGACACGAACAATTGCACCAGAAGCATTGTGGTTGCATCTGTGATTGGTTAGTTGACTTTGGAAATGTGGGTATGTTCAAGCTGCTCCTACATACCATTAAGAAGGCAATCGTTTCTTTGCATTCCCTCCTTAGGTCCCAGGGGGATGGGCACTCTGGGTAAGAGCTATTTGCAGGTACTCCCAGATGCAAGCAGATTTCTGCAGGTGGCTGACATGTCCATGTGTAGAGCTGGGCAGAAATCTTCTGATCAAAGCTGAAGGTAGCGAAGCACTTACCAAGCCTTTTCCCCCATTTCAGTTACAGCTTCCAAACAAATGCAGCCACATGCCCTCCACGCCTTCCAAGTTGGGGTTATTAGAACCTCATCTCTTAGGACAGTCAGCTTTCTCTCCTGCTTTGCCTAGGAGCTCCCAGTTTCTTCATTTTTGACTAAATTTCTACCAATTGCCTACACGTGTGACTGACTCAGGTTACTTTAGGGAAAGGCAGGTATTTATAATTAGTTTGTGAAGCTAACTCATAAGCTGAACATTTTAACATCATTTACATTAACATCCATAAAAAATATAGCACTTCTTTGTTTGGATTGCATTTAGACGTACAAACTAAATATGAACAAGTGAGTGAATGAGTTCCGCACTTTGGAGAAGTTTATAGAAGAGATAGTATCATAAGCACACTAAAACACAGCCTACATGTCCTCAACTGTTCACAATTGTGCTAATACGGGTGCTCTGATTTCTCTTAAAGTTTTAGTTTCCCATGTTCTGGAGTTATTGACTTTGTGATCTTTCTGAAGTTATCAAATATTTACAGGTCTGCTAATTTCCCTTGTAAAGTTTTCATTTTCTTGTATTGTCTAGTATTTCTTTCTTTCTTTTTAAGATTTATTTATTTATTTGAAAGACAGAGTTAGAGAGACAGAGACAGAGAAAGAGGTCTTCCATCCACTGGTTCACTCCCCAGATGGCTGCAACGGCTGGAGCTGTGGCGATCCAAAGCCCGGAGCCAGGAGCTTCCTTTGGTTCTCCCACATTGGTGCAGTGGCCCAAGCACTTGGACCATCTTCTACTGCTATCCCAGGCCATGGCAGAGATTGGGATCAGAAGAGGAGCAGCTGGGACAATAACCGGTGCCCATATGGGATGCAAGCGCTTCAGGCCAGTTTGTTAACCTGCTGTGCCACAGCGCCGGCCCCGAGTATTTTTTTCTTAAAGTTACTTCAATCCACTGCTGTTCCAGAATAGCTCTTATGGCCACAGGCTGTTTCCAGGCTACACTGCAACATTATGTGGTGTCTCTCCTTGAGTCACTGCATCCCTGTGAAATCTACATTATTTTTACATCAATTCTCTCTGTTGTTCTTGAATATTCCCTGACATAGCCACCCTTTAGTAGATATTTGTGGGGAGCAACTAGGACTAGACTAGTTACTGGAATTAAAACTTATTCTATGCATCTGCTCTCCCACAATATGGTGCTGAGAAGGGAGTAAACAACTTCTACGCAACTGCCTCTCGCCAACTTGAGTGATGACCTGCAGGAGCTGATCCTGCTCCTGATTGGAGGAGAGCAGCGTGCTCGGCGTGTGGGTAGCAGAGTTGGGATTGGTGGAAGAGGACTATAAAGGAGGAGAGAGACAACATGCACCAGGAACATCTAAAGGGAACATCCGGATAATATCTGAGCAGCCCCCAAGAGAGCCGGCCGGCGGTGTGCTGCTCCCCCGCGCAAGTGGGGAAAGTGGCAGGGGGAGCCGCCCTTCCACGGAGGTGGAAGGATTGGCAGCCAACCTGGGAAGAACCAGCAGCAAACCCGGGAAGGGCCCAGCAGACAAAAGAACAGTGCAGGGTCCTGTGTCGCTCCTCTGCGAAGAGGGGGAGTGACAGATATTGATTGCTTTCTACAAACTAAGTATGTGAGAAAAGCTGTTTTTCCCTTTTGCCTCTGGTCTCTGTCACTATCACCATGGCAGTTGTGGTGCACGGTTTCAGTACTTCAGTTCTCCCAGCATTTCACTCACCTAGGAGCATTTAAATAATAAACAAGAGCCAAAATCAACAATCAAATCAAAAGATGTCCATTTCATTCCCATACATTTTTGTATTATATATTCACTATAAGAAATCAGAGAAAACATATGATATTTGTCTTTTTCAGACTGGCTTATTTCACTAACCATTTATGTATATTTTTAAAAGTTTTTCCTGTTGGAAAGCAAGCGAGAGATGTTGGTAGACAACTCCTTGGGCAGACACAATTAAACATGATTTTTTAAAAAGCAGAAATCTATATAGGAGGACTCCTAATTACATATTTGAATCTCCAAGGCTTTTGGGGAACACTAGCTATATTAAAAAGAGAATGTTACTTGTAGTAGTTGAAAAAGCAACTCTAAGTTTAGGAGTTGCAACCTTAGCAGAGGTGTTAAGATCAAAATTATGCCACTTTTATCACTGAATTATTGCTAACTAATCTTTTATGTTATATTAACTTCTCTGTGAATTAATCTCAATTAATTTTTCAATTCATTTTTCTCTTCTAGATTATTTAAAGATTAGAAATAATCTATAGGTAGCAAATAGAAAAGAGGCCCAAAAATTTTATTTTGACTATTGGGAATAATGAGTATGAAAACAGAAATTTGGCAGATATTTATTTTTTACTACAAACTTGAAGGGAAAGAGGAAGTTGCCCTACTAAGTAAATATAACATTGAGAGGCTCTATTATATCAATCTAAAAGTGTTATTTATTTACATCAGAAACACAGGAAAGCACCCAAGTTAGTAGTAGTAGTAAGTAAATACATTAGGAATGTTAAAAATAAGTATCTATTTGAATTTGAAATGAAATTCTTAGGCTGCATTTAATTTCTAAGTATTGATTGAGTTGAAGAATTGGTGGAGTATTGCACCAATAATCTATGAATCTTTATTAATTTAAACTGCTAATATTTAAATCATTTAGTATTTTAATTCCATTTAGTAAACTTCTCTTAAGTTTATTGGAAACTTAATCCTGGGGGTATTTCGAGAGATGTGGAGGGAGAGAGGGAAGTTTGGCTATATTCTTAGAATTGTATCTATGCAATGCATGGAACCTGTTCTCTTTACATTAAAAAATGTAAAAAATATTGGAGTTAAAGAATTGAACCTAGGGGCTGGTGCTATGGTGTAGCAGGTAAAAGCCACTGCCTGGAGTGCCAGCATCCCATATGTGTGCTGGTTCAAGTCCCAGCTGCTCCACTTCTGATCCAGCTCTCTGCTATGGCCTGGGTAAAGCAGTACAGGCTGATCCAAATCCTTTGGCCTCTGTACCTGCATGGGAGACCTGGAAGAAGCTCCTGGCTCCTGGCTTTGAATTGGTGCATCTCTGGCTGTTGCGACCAATGTGGGAGTGAACTAGTGGATGGAAGACCTCTCTTTCTCTCTGCCTCTCCTTCTCTCTGTGTTTAACTTTGACTTTCAAATAAATAAATCTTTTAAAAAAGAATTGAACCTAATAAGATGTAAGATCAATAAATTAGCATATAGAATACATTTATAACTAGGGCTGCTTTACTCATTAGGTGCTGTAGGCACAGTCCTTCATTCCTGTATTATTCTTCAATGGCCAAAAAACTTTTTATAACCTGAAAATCTAAAATATTATGTCTAAGGTATAAAAAATTAAATTAATATATTAAATTTAAAAAAACAAATATGTTGTTATTCATAGGTATTTCAGTAAAAAAAATGTTTTCTCATTGTAAGTACTTCTGATTAAGGATGACAGTTCCCCTGAAATCACAGAAAATCATAATACTTCAACGTGAACTATTCACTAGACAGTATCTCAACTGTATGGTTTGCAGTGGAAGGGAATTTAGTATCAGTGCCTTGACCGTGTTTTGTTTTTTCCTCCACAGTGACTAGTAATTCCTCCAGAAGACAATGGATGACATCAGGGATCTCACAGAGAAATGAGAATTCTACCTTCCCTACCCTGGTCACAGCTGAAGGAATTAATAAACTGAGTGTGGACGAGCTTGCATGCCAGCATGTCTGTTTTTCTTTTCTTTTTTTTCTTTTCTTTCCTTTCCTAAGTCTGTTTTTCTTTCCCACTTACAACAACGCAGAATTCAACCACTGGGGCTATACCTCTGACATTTCAGGATCCTTAATTGAAGAGGGCATTCCAACTAGGGAATCTCTAGTCCTGTTAGAATCCTTGAGCTCTTCCCATTGTCCTCTCCTTGACTTTTCAGCACCTGGCATCTCCTTCTCATTTACTTCCCAGGGCTCCATGTGTATCCTCTGTCCTCACTCAGTATGGTCTCTGGCTGGTTAGACCATGCTGTTCCTCCAGGATCTTCTCACCAGACACAGCTGACCCCATGAAGATCTAGGAAATCCAGGTGTTTAACCTTCTTGTGCTCCCCATAGCCTAACCTGGACTTCTGTGAGAGGCTCTGTTTTGCCTTAGGGACTGTACTTGCCTGACTGGGAACCTCTACCAGCTAGCTTTCCCTTGCCCTTTATCCAGGTGACCAACAGGGCCAGAAGACAGGCAGCTTCCAAAAGACCAAAAGGGTTTGAGCTTGACTCTCAGTGAAGAAAGCTAACCCATGTTCAGAATTTGGTGCGAAGAAATGAATTAGGAAAAGTTTTTTCATGTTCCATTTTCTAAGGAAAAAAATGTGTAAAATCATTTAGGTCTTTAATTATTTGTTTTGCCAAAGTTCAGTAATGATTTTCTCTGGAACTAATGATTTGGGAAGGGGTTAAAATGACAGATTCAATTTAACAGAACTATTAAAAATTCTACTTGATTTTATTTATTTGACAGGTAGAGTTATAGACAGTGAGAGAGACAGAGAGAAAGGTCTTCCTTCCGTTGGTTCACTCCCCAAATGACCGCCATGGCCGGCGCTGTGCCAATCCGAAGCCAGGAGCCAGGTGCTTCCTCCTGGTCTCCCATGGGGTGCAGGGCCCAAGCACTTGGGCCATCCTCTACTGCCCTCCCAGGCCACAGCAGAGAGCTGGACTGGAAGAGGAGCAACCAGGACTAGAACCAGGTGCCCATAAGGGATGCCGGTGCCGTAGGCAGAGAATTAACCAACTGAGCCACCGTGCCGGCCCCCAACTTGATGATAGTTTGTAAAGCTTATTAGTTTTCCTTGATGGTCAATATCTTGGTATAAATTCATTTAAAAAACTATACATGGATTTCAAAATAATTTTACACTGAAATATATATAACTTTTTGGCTTTGTTTTAAATGTGAATATAGAAAGATTTATTTGAAATGATATCTTCAATGGATTTTATTTCTATCAAAGTATACACATGATTTTCATGATTATTGTTATGAAGACACTTTTAAATATAAATTTTGATATAGTTAGTTTTTAAATGACCAGCCAGCTGTTTCATGAAGAAATATTTAGCATTAGCATAAATTATTTTCTCAAACATTTGTTTATATGGAAGACAATTTCCAATTTTTCATTATACATTTTCAATTCCATATTTTTGGTTAGTATTATTTTTCTCTCAAATAAAATTTATGATCTTTTCCTCATAATTAAAAGATACTAAATACATCTAGAAATGGAATACAGCTATATTTAACCTAAAAACTTTCATTTAATGTGTACAAGGTTCATGCATTTCATACATACAAATTTAGTAGCATAGTAATTTTTCTCACCCTACCTTCACTCTCACCCACACTCCTACCTTTCTTCCTCCTCCCTTTTATATATTTTTATGTTTTAATTTTCCTTTTGTAGCATGAGACAGTTAATTTTAGAATAATGGGTAAGCATTCAGAATAGTTATTTACCCATATGAGAATTCCCAAGAAGTAGTCATATTTGTGATTTTAATGATAGTTTAATTTTGTTTTATTTTGAAATATGTATTTATT